ATATAGACTAAGGTGAAAATAAAGCTGAAAAAATGTTTTCACTTTCTTAGAATTGTGTGAAAATCTTAAAACTTAAAACTTTATTAAAAAGCTGGTTCTGAGTCTAAACTTCAAAAGAAACATATCATCTTGTAGAGAATCGAATTCTCTATCGATTAGTGTGGCCTTCCATTTTTATTAGGAAAAGTGTCTAGGTGAGGAAATTGAAAATACAGTTTTTAAAAAATGTAAAACTGGGTTTTTAGTACCAAAATTTAACGTTTTTCAAAAACTAATGTGAGATTCGTAATCAGTGTCGAAAACTGCATCTAGTGATATGCTCCTATCAGTTCTACTCTAAAATAATTTTTTCAAAAACTTGATCAGCGAAGTCTCGAGTTACGTGGACAAGCCGCTAGCATGTAGTCCTAATCGTGCTCTAACAGTAGAACCTATTGTCATTCATTGAATGTAACGCTATGCAGATGTAGAAAAATCCAAAGTAAAATTATGGGATTTTGAAGGCTTAAACATATTTGAATCATATATCACTAGTATTGAAATACCAAGATGAAGATGATTATAATGAAGAGAACTAATCATGTAGATACTATTACGTATATCAGTAGCTTATCTAATTTCTTTTCTTCGTATATATCAACAATAATCTACATTTCAAAACCCAAATGACCCTCTTCACGGCCACAACTTCGTCTCCGTTCTCTGTTTTTACTGCTGCTGAAAATAATAATGATAAAGAGAAATGAGTTTCGAAATAATCATCTATAAAACATGTACATATACTGTTTGTAACACAGCATTTGGCCATTATATAATCATGTCTATACATGGGTCTAAAGACTAATGTTAAAAAGAGAACTATTAAACGACTAATATTAAAAATCGATTAAATATTTTTTCACCTTATTTAAATACTAGTTCGTTCACTATTTTTCTTTATTTAAATATTTTTTCTTTATTTTAAAATAACTAAATATTTTTCTATCTTATGCAGAAAACTTTAATATTTTTCTACAACATTTAATTTCTTTTACAACAAGAAAAATATTCATTAGTTCAGATAGAAAAAAATTTAATTGATTTTTAATATTATTCGTTTAATGTTTTATTTTTAACTTTTTTTCGATACACCCTTATACGTGTCATGCATATTATGATTGTAATTATGTTATATGTTATTCACATGTACTATACATATCCATTTATATGTCGTATATAATATATAATTTGATTATATATCGTACCTGTAATAAATGAAAATGTTCAATATGTATAAAATGTCAGTTTATATTGCCGGGAATGTAAAAATGTTTCGTTTTCTCGAACTAGCAAGTAATTTCTTTTTAAATTTGTACGAAATTTGAACGATCAAAAGAGTTCCTAATCGTGCTGTAATCAAGATGATGATTTTTTCAATCAAAGATTATTCTAAAAAATCTTTCAACAAATATCCTAAAATAAATTGATTGTGTGTCGGTAAGCATGGCTACTAGCCTCAATAATTTCTGAAACAGAAACTTGATTACATCTCCTCTGAAGAGTTTTATCAGCAACTCTCACTACTTTTGGTATGCCCTAAGTATAAAAGATCTGTTTAAGTTGGTACATGAGAAAAAAGATTTTAGCGCATCGATTATGCACATAGGTAATATGTGCTGTCTAATCTAATTAGATTTTAACATGTACCTTAAGGTACATGTTAAAATTAGTACCAAATGTTTTTGATTGTCAACTTCAAACAGAGCAACGTTATTAATTAACAATTGATTTTGTGTGATATCAAGTTTTATTTGCAGAATGCTATTGATTCACATTTTGGTATGTTTAGGCGGAGTTGCCAAAACAGTGTCCATTCATATATTAAAATCAGGTCTGAATTAAGTATTTCTGAGACCATTTCTATTGATTTCTGAGTTACATAGAGTAGTACATTATCAGCAAAGAGTTGAGAAGTAGATTTTAAATTCAATACAATATCATCAATAAATATCAGAAGCAGAAGGAGCCCCAGGATCGATCCCCGAGGTACTCTTCTATTAATTTTACGAGCAAATGAAACTTCACCATGTACCATTGTGACTCTAGTTCGATCACTTAAATATGATTTGAACCATTTTTTCATTTTTTCAGAAACGCCTTTTTTGCTTCAGTTTATAGCGTAGAATATTGTGCCAGATGGAGTCGAACGCTTTTCTGGAATATAGAAAAACGGCTCTAGTTATAGGTAATTTTTTTCGAAACTAAGGTGGAAATCACGGACTAAATCGATAAGTCGGTTAACAGCAGTCTTTATGCCTAAAACCTGACTGTAATGTAGTGAGTAGGTTGTTCTTTATCAGATAGTAATATAACCGCTGGAAGACAACTCGCTCTATAATTTTTGATAGTATCGATAGCAACGTGATTGGTCTGTAATTTTCAGGAAAGCTATGATCACCACTTTTGTACAGAGTATTAATAAAACCTACTTTAAACAATGCTCATATATCCCGTCTGCAATTGAATGGTTTATTTTTTGACTTGTAAAGAAAAAACACTTGATACTATAGTTTCTTCCTTATATTAAGAAAAATATTATATCCTAAAAAAGTCTAAATAGTATGGCAGTAGAATGAACTATAAAAGAGATGTTTTCTTTTTGCTTTATATGGATTTTCAACTATTTATTCTAACTTCATTCGCTCTTGATAATGGTCATAGTAATATACCGAAAGCTCGAATAATAAAAGAAAAATTCCGCAGAATTTTCAAGAATTTTATCGCAGTATTATACTCATTGGTCAAAATTATGTTACTATTTGATACATGTTCTTTAAGGATGCCACATACGACAACTTTATGTACTAATTCAAAAGTTTTTAAATGACTTTTAAAATCACGCTCGAATACACAACACTCGTAAACCATTCAGGTCGTTATACATGCTTTATAGACGTACAATCGAAGTTGACTTGATGCTGATCCGAAAACTCGACTTTGCTAAAGATGGGCGAGTACAAAATTTTCAATACCCGTACTCTTACTCAGGACTATTTAAAAATATACTCGAGTATTTTCGAGTACCTGAAAGCTTTTTACTGTTATGCTTTACAAAGAATTTTTGATCTTGCAAAATCAATAAATGTGATTAGTGTAGTCACAGAAAAACTCTCTCTTACTCTCAATTATTTGCTAGGTTTTTGTGTGTTCTGAAGTCTCTTTCTCTTTCTTTCTGTCTATCTTTCTCTTGATCATTAGAAGAGACCATTAGATAAGAAGGCGCATGTGAACTGTAAAAGCAGATAGGAAGGAAGACCTCTTATCTTTTCCTATAGAAGAAACTTATTTCTTATTGTGTTAATTGAAAATTTTTGATTTGTTAATTTATACAAAAAACTAAGGCTAGAACCTAACTCTCCTTCAACTGATAACCAGAAAGATGTTGAAAAGATATTTTTACGCAGTTAAAGCGTTTTTCATAAGTATTTTCTTCTTTTAGAAAATACTCATACTCAAGAATTTGCGTACTCGCTTAGCTCTAGACTTTGCACTCCATGCATTTATTTACATTTTTAGTAATTATTTAATTGTCATATTTCCGTGATAGATCCTGAGATAAATTAACTTCTAATAATTTAACGGTATTTTCTATTTTAACAGGAGAATTTTGCAGTGTAAATTGATTAACTTTTCCAAAAAGACATGGCTTAACATTATCCACATTTGTTTCATTTACTGAGTTTAAGAAGTATGATCGTAATTAAATCATTCATTATCAAAAAGAACGGTGAGGTGAGAATAAATGTGTTGAAAAAACACTTTCAGAAAACCGATCACATTTACATCTCGAAAACGCGTTAGCACAAGTTCAAAACATGAAATATAAAGAAACATATTTCTTCTCTTTATTATTATTTTTTTCCATTGTGAATCTATAGGACGACACTGTTCATTAAGACATGATCACTAGTCTAGATGTTTCCCCCAGGTCTTTTTTTCTAAAACTTCTTAAACAGTTTTGTATTTTCTTAGCACACTACCTAAACGAAAAAAAAACAACTTTTTGTGAGCGTTGTGTGTATATATATATATAATATATACCCTTACCTATATATATATAGTTCTTTCCTTTTTAAGTTTTTTTTTCTTGTGATTCATTCATACCTAACATCTTCGAAAGAAAAAACTGCCGAATAAACCTTATAGCAACGGGCAGATTTTTTCTTTTGAAGGAATGAATCATAATAAAAAAAAAATTCAACAGAAAAGAACTAAATATATACACACGGCTCTCAAAAAAAAAAGGTTTTTTTTTCCTCTTATTAAACAGAGTGTAAGAAAATAGCCATATAACATTTTTTGATAATGAGTTGTTAAGTTAGATTTATGATTTAATTAGCATCCGACTTCTTATAACTCAAGCGAATGATCATCTGCTCTTCGTCACTAGACAGATATGTCCCCAATTTCCCGTGTAGTTATCGACGTAGTTAAGAATAAAATGAGTGGTGAACGACCAATGCCTAAATGTTTATATATTATTTTGATCACATCGTCACTCATTATTATCGTATTCTTCCTTATCAAACAGAATTTGGATTATATTCAATCAAAACCATTTAAAGTAAAATTCTGGAATAATGCATTCATTCATGACAACTTCACTAGGGAAGAAAGAACACAAATTATGTGCATTAATGGTACTACCTCCACCATCATCTCGTCTTCGAGACCAGTGAATCCATCACATGTTTGTCATAATAAAATTTCTCATCTTAAATCATACTGTGACCTAATACCTAATCCAAATCATAATTGGGTCAGTGCTAAACGCTACAAAGAGTCCGATCTTATGTTTATTATTGTTAGTGGTGCAAAGTTTTATCATACTCGAGCAATGACCGTTCGTGATACATGGTTATCACGTGTGACAAACTATTATATTCTAAGTTCTACACCGTATTCATATTTGCCGGTGACTGTCATTCCCAATACGGGAGAAGATTATTTATCAAATATGAAAAAGACATTTTATGGAATGCCCGTAATCTATAAAGAACAGTTAGCAAAACCTGTAGAAATGAGACAGAAATGGTTTTATTTGATTGGAGACGATACATATGTAAATGTTAGACATTTAATCAAGAGATTAGATCCATATGATTATCAGCAGGTAAGAGTAATCGATAATGTCGATAGATTTTGAATTTTTTTAAAAAGTCGTCAAGGCAGTATGATGAACTGTCTCAATAAGTTCAGGGATTTATTTTATTTAAATTATCATACAAAAGCTATTTCTTTCCGATCCGAATCATTGTAGATATAAGTCTTTATCATACTTTTCTCTGTTCATTCAATACCCATCCAGTCAATAGAGAGTTGACAAAAAAATTGTGAAAAGTAGAGAACTATTTGATGTATCGAACTGGAAAATTGTAAGTTAACTAAATTGAAACCTTTGTACATAAATAACAAACGAGTATCTCGGTATACTTGACCTCAATTTTAAAAAAAATTCTGTCTCTACAGCTTTAAACTCGTTCTGTCGTCTATGGAAAGAATGTGGGTGTAGAATTAAAAATTCAACTTTTCAAGGTCCCTTTAGCTCTCATTTAAAGTCGGAGCTGTATGAATCCAGACCTTTTTAGCTATTATATACTGTAAAAAAGAGGACTTCTTCAGAAAACTGAAACTGTGTTTTTCATTTGTCTCAAATAGGGATCTAATGTGAGTTTTCTGAAAATTTGCAAAACTGATTTTTTCATTTTCCAGAAGAACAGAAATTGAGTTTATCATTTTTTTAGACCCTTATTTAGGACATTTGTTTTCAAGAAAACATTAGGTCGAAAAACACATTTCTGTTTTTCGACTTTTTCAAAAATCTGATTCTTAATTCCTCTATTCACCAGGCAACGTTTTTTAATCAATACGATATCTGAGATCATATGTAGAATTATTCATTTATTCAGTATAAATATTGTCAACTGGAAACCTGCACAAGTAGAGAAAACTATGTAACACACATTCTAACTCGACCGTCATTTGGAACCTCATTTGACCCGAGTCGAATCAGGTTCCAAACATCTTAGGTACTCGACTCGTTGGGTTCAAGTCAAATTTTAGAACTCTATTATCAAGAACAAACATGTTCTGGAAGTGTGCACATTGTTGTACATAAATAGAACTTTTTGAGAATAAGTTTAAACTTCTATAAGGAAAGATCTTGTCATTAGGAATCACAAAACAAAAGCGGTGATTGAAATATGTGATTTTTTTTCCTTTTCAACTCTGAGATCTTCAGAGAACTCAAAAGAAATACTGTGTTTTCCAAATCTTGAAAGACAGTTTCTGAAAAACTGAAATGAGTGAAAAACTCATTTTTTATCGAAAAATAGAAATTAAGTTCTTCATATTTCAAAGAACTTAAATGAGATCTTCAACTCTGAAAACACGAAGAACACATTTTTTTTTTAGAGTGTAATGAGAAACGATGTATACATTGATGTTTCATCACTTCATAAGACCTACGCTGATGAGAATTTCTTGCATCTCCTCTCTTTTGTAGTTGATCTAAAAGATGAATGTTAAACTTAAAAGAAGATTAATAACTGTGTGGAATAGTCGTATGTTTCAATTCTTGATACTGGAGCCAGTTCAGATGGCGATTAATTTCAACTAATAGTATCGTGACTTGATAATGTGATATTGTAGGCATATTTTGTCGGTGGTAGTTCAGGTAAGGAAGTGTGTTATGAAGTTGATGGAACCAGAAATCCCATAACGTTCGGAGGGGGTGGTGCTGGATTATTATTTTCGTGGAAACTATTTGAACTGTTACAACCAAATTTAACCGATTATGTCGATAACAAATGGGTTAAAACAAACGCCATGTCTGATGTTGCAATTGCATGTTTAATTCAACGAGTTGGATACCAGCTGACCTATGTCAACGGGTTTTGGCCCCTTACGCCGGCGAGGATGGTTCAACTTTCAGGGCGGGCAGCTATGAACCAAGATCCTGAACCAAACAATTTCCATTATGTTCAACCCCCAGAAATGATTGATCTAGATGAATTTTATTCATTTCAATATATTGATCGATTGGCAAATGATCAAAATTTACAAGAACTGACGGAATTTACTCGTCTATTCGTCAAAAAATATTATGAACTTGTGCGCAAAAAACAAAAAGAATGTACACTACCGCCGATAACCTCATGAATAACTTGTTATTGTTATCCTCGTTAATTGTACATTTTTATACCCACCATTTTTTCATCCTCAATTTTCACTCACAGTCAGCATATGTTTTGTATAGTATTTTTTTGGTAATTGAAATTGTATTTACAGTATCAAAAGTTCGTTCTTGCCTTAAACGATAGAGAGTTTCTTTCTTCTTTATATCTGATGTTCTTTCACTATTTGAAAAACAACTCATATTATAAATAGCCTAAAAGTATAACTACAACAAAAATTCTGTCTCTACAGCTCTAAACTCGTTGTGTCGTCTATGGAAAGAATGTGAGTGTAGAATTAAAAATTCAACTTTTCAAGATCCCTTTAGCTCTCATTTAAAAAAAGTTATATTTTTTGTACTCGATTGTTAATCGACGAAATCATTTAAATCGTCTAAAATGGTCATTTTTGGAAAAAATGACAACTTTCAAATTGTCTGTGTTGAAAAACGAAAGCACCTGAGACCGTCAATATTTTACCAAATATATTGTGACACATAATCTATTTGAAAATATTTTTGAAAGTTCGACGCTCGACTTCGTTTCAAATGGATGCATCCATTACAGTAATAAATGTAATTCTTCTTAATTTGGGATCTTAGTGCACTCTAAAAAAAGTCGTAGATTAAAAAACTGGGAATCGTTTTGTAGACTTACTAAAAAACCGTTTACAGTTTTTCATTGAAACTAAAAAATTCAAACTAGTTTTTTGTTCAGCAATAAACCGATGGTTTTTTATCCGAGGGTTTTTTGGTTAAAAAGAAAGATTATTAAAAAGCTATCACGAGTTTTTTATCGATAATAAAAAACCGACATAGTTTTTTATTTTTCGTAAAAAACCATTTACTTTTTTGAAAATAAAACTTAGAATAAAAAGAGTTTTTTGATAGGTCTAAAAAACTACCTTAGTTTTTCATCATTTGTAAAAAACCAGTGTCGTTTTTTATTACAGTCGAAGAACCATACATTTTTGTAAACAACCAAAAGGGTTGTCTAAAGTGAATGAAGAACGGGATAAGTTTTTCATCGAAATTAAAAAACTAAGTGAAAATCTAGAATACTTATTTTCTTTTCATTTTAAAAATGAAACTGGGCCATCATTTTTTATTCTGATTCTGAAATGGAGCGATCCACTTATTATGTTACCAATTCTTTGTTTGCTTGTTGACACACATACGGATAAAAGCCTGCGACGGAGAACGAGTTTCTTATTCGCTTTAGATTTCTGAATCGAGAAGACTTCACGAATTTACTGAAATTTGGTTTTTTCCTATTCATTAGGTCGCCAGTGAATGAAAGTTTTGTATTGAACCTACGCCCAAGCTGCAGGAATGTTCTAATCAGTCGAGGAATCTGTAGTTTACGAGATTAGCAAGTGTAGAAAACAGACTTAGGGCGACACGGTGAATTTTCAAGAAAACAGAAAGTTTGAGCGTCTAATGTAGCGAAACTTTATTCTCAAGATTCGAAACAGCTTTTTGACGAACATTAAAACAAGCTTCCAAAGTACATCAATGAATCAGTTGTTGAGAAAACGTGATCCAGACGTATTTAATAGCCAATACGATATTTTTCAACAATATTGAGCGATATAAAGGAACTTGGAGTCCGATACGTGTTTTAGTCTCATGCATGCCGATAAACTAGCGCCATTCGAAGGTCTGGCGGTCTGATGATATTTCTGTCGATGTTGTCAATAGACTTGTTGGTCAAGTGCAACTTACTCATTCGGCTCATGAGAAACACTATGAGGGTATATCAGCAAAGCCAAGACTCCATACAATTTGTTTTGAAAAACAACGTGTAGCTTTCATTTTTGACAATTTTTGCTTTGTATTCAGCTCACTGCACTCTGTCTACGAAAAAACAACTTGTACAAGTACACTTTACCACAAAATCCTTTTCGAAACCTCTGATCTTTACAGAGCGAAGTCAGACGAAAACAATACTAGACTCTCCGTATAATTGATGTTTTTTCTCTTCTTTTGTTTACTTATTTTTAGATTTCGTTTTTTTCTGCTGTGCTTGTAGATAACGCAGACTCAAATATGGATCTACAGTTACTAATGATGTTATTAAATGGACATCACAATTTTTAGAAAATGATGTTGTTAAAAAATTCGAAGGTGAGTAAATTTCAGCATTATCCTGAAAGCATTTCTGTGACTTTTCATTCAAATGTGACAATAGAAAGATCTTTTCAATCTGTGTGACGTAATCTTGCTTCAATTGAGGAAGGCCGAAAGCATCTTCACGTGGTTTTGTGCTGTGAACTATCCTTTATGTAGCACATTTGTTTTTGTTTTTGCAGAGGTGAGAAGCGCTAGATTTTTTTCTGTGATTTCGGTCTGCTTCTACCAACAAAAAATAAATTTTGTCTGTGTTTGTGACAGTGCAAAGACAAACGAATTTTGTTTGACTGTTTTCCATAGGTTTCTTGCGAAAGAAAGGGACGAAAAGGAAAAAAAAGCGCATGCGCTTTTTTTTTCGGAACTTTTGGTAAAATTTCAATATCTCAGCAACGCTACACCTTTTTGACTTGTGTCGTTTGCCAAAATTCATCAAAATATCTGTCTAATAGAGCCTCCTAGTTTGAGAACATTGATTGAACACTACTCCACTGTAATAGGTCGTGACTTAGGTACAACGGCTCATCAGTACAAGTTACAGAACATTTTACTCAAATTATAGAAAAACTTAAAATACGTACATCGCTAGGGGAGCTGTCCAAATTCGCATCGATGAATTTATTCACCAGTGAGAGAATTGGAAAGAAAATTTAGTACAGTATTGTTTCATCTGCCTTAAAAAAAGAATATGGAACTATTGTAGTCACATAGCAGAAAGAATATATATGTGACATGAATGACTTTCCGGTTTTCTCTTTGGGCCATGATATTCAGACAGGACATTACGAAGTTTATGTACAATCTTTTCTTGTTATGTATGTACAAAGCATAAAAATTTTATATACACTGTAATCTTGAAAATTAGTTATAGAAAATCGCTGTTGATTTTCTGAAAGCCCATATATGAAATCGCTGAGGATTTTCTATAAAATAGAAAACCGAATTCCCAAGAATCTAGAAAATTGACATGAATTTTCAATATCAAGCTAAATAAATAAGGTTTAAGCGTTTTTCTGAAAACTTCCTTTTTGTCATGAATAAAATATTCATATTTAATGTCACTTTTTTCCATGTTCGTTCGTAATAGATGCTTACTAAAACAATTCCGTAACATCAGATAATACAGGTTACATATACAAATCAGTTAAGTCAAATATAGTACACGAAAGAATATATACATATATGTTCTTTCTGTTATACGATAGTTCCATAATCTTTTTTCAGACAAATTGAACAATACTGTACTAATTTTTTTTAAAATTCTGCCGGCGGTGAATAAATTCACCGATGCGAATTTTGACGGTTTCCCTTAAAATCCAAATAAAAACTTAAATAATTAACAGATATTTTTGTTTGACAGTGGTTAACATTTTCTACTTTTTTATTTTTATTGGTTTAGTTCTTGGCTACGGTATATTAATCTGTTCTCAAAATTTAGTCTCATTACCGGAAAAAAGAACGCCTTTAGTCTCACTCTAAAACCTTAGTTTTCGAAAAAAAAGATTTTCTAGAGATCACTAGAAGTTCTCCAGATATCTGCATTATAAGTTCTACATTTACATGTATCATCAAAATTTCATCACAAAATTTATGGTGGTTCTCGTAATGCAGAAAAATGCCTAGTCTCTTTGATGTCAAAAATTGATTGGTTTAAAGAAAACATATTTTCTTAGCAACGAATATATGGAAGAGTTTCACAAAAAGTAGTCGATTAGTTCATCAATTACAAAGACAAATGAAAAATATGTAATAGCTGGTTTGCTGTAGATCTAATATTTTTGAATAAACTATCGATAGAAATATCAAAAAAATATGCAGTTTTGTGAGAAATAAGATCAGAAGAAATGTTCAGGGCCATGCATGCATTCTAATTCCCGTTTGTCTCAGTTTTGTGAAATATTGATAACTATCTTTCATTGAACCAGGTGAATGCCCCCAGTACTTTATCATATTCGTCTGCGTTACATGATGTTCAAAAAACATTTCGTCGATTAAGTGAGAAATCGTTGAATTCTCAAGTATTTGTTGAATCAACGGCATTTCAACAGCATGTGTATCAATGTCGAGTTTTACAATAACATAGTCTTCGGGCTTGGCTATTGCTAAAAGCAATCGCCATGGATTATATTTACTAGTTCTATCAGCTGAACATCCGACGTTGATTAGTGTATAAGCGGACATAAGTTCATCAGGTACTTGGTCCCAAACCGTTGTGGGCTCTAATGATGTAATTTCATAAGCTATAATACGACTGAATGACATTGATCTCTTCTTAAAGTAATCATAGAACCATCGAGTACTAGTAAAAGCGTCAGATTTTCCAAAATATTGACTGCCCAAATCAAGTAAAATTATCTGCGGTGGCGAATCTAAAACAAAGTGACTTGAAAAATGCTTGACATCTGTCGTTTTTTAACGAGTGTTACAAGAGTTTCTAGGCAAAATGTAGGACGCCACAAACTGGGTTTCACGTGTGCATCCATGGCAGGGGTTTGAAAAGAAATAGTTGCATGTTTCCTCAATCGTATAAAGATCCACAATGCATTCTGCTGAGAGACAAAATTTAGTTCAAAAACGCGTGTTCATCATTAAGTGCGTGAACAAAAAAGTATCTTGTTCGGCATTTTGTAAACAGTTCTTTCCACTCAATAATTTATTTGATCATCGAACGTAACATAAGTGATATAGAGATTTGAGAAAAGATTCTTAAGGTTCGTCTTTCCTTTCACTGATATCCGACGTGAAATAAATAAGATATTTGGGCAAAAATCTGTCATAGACATGACAACATGTCCAGAAACGCTGTTTTTTCAGACAAAGAAAACACCACTCTCAGTGTCTTACTTAAATCAAGAGAAAAGGTTCCGCAAACAGTTGCTGTTTGATTGACTTTCAAAGAAGTTATCCGAGCCTTTCAACAGTACAACGAAAAGTGGATCTCTATGTCGATAACTGTTTGAAAGCATTAGTTCAATATATTCGGAAAAATATCAAGAGGGTGACAACTGGGTATTTTGGTCAGATAGTCTCGTCAAAACAAAATGCCTCAACGAATAAAAGGCAACTTCTGTGGTACAAAGGACGGGAACTGATAAGAACATAAATCAGTCCAAGAACATACATCAGACCAAAAACAAAACACAAAAACATAATAAAAAAAGTACACATTGAAGGATAACATCGAGTCATTGCAAAACTTCAATCATTGTGCAGATTATAGGAAAGAACAGCGAAGTTGATTTTTACAGTTCGTCTGCAAAGATCAAGTTCGTGTGTTCGATCCTAGCTTCGTGCAAGGATTGATTTTGTGTTTTGATAGTTTAAGTTTCAGACTGATGTAATGGGAATTTATATTCTCGATTTCGTTCTGGTTCAAGATTAAAGCTTAAACCAAATCAGTCCATTTAGATTTTATTACATCCAATGTTTTAGTTTTCTAGAAAATGATTGTTTAACTTATAGTCGGGCGCTTAGTCTTCATCTATACTATACAACAAGATTGAAAACACTGATTTCTAGACATCAGTGAAGAAAGAGGTCGATCAAAAAGCTCTGTAAATGGACTTCAACCAATCAGATATCAGTTAAATCATCAAAACCTTTTAGTTGATAGTGGGTCACCGGGTATACCTGAGAAATTAGGAAGGCTCAACACCGCAACGTAACACATGAAAATTGAAAGACATCGATATACATGTGTTCTACGTGATAGTGTGAGAAGTGTGCTTAAACTGCGAACACTTGAAGGTAGAGAATCCCTTTCAATCATTTGACTACTTGATTTCGTATCTCACGTTTGCATCGAAAAAGTGGAAAATTTCTTTTTCTCATATGAAAAATTTTGATTATGACTTTGTCTAGAAACTTTTGCGGCACCCATTATTTAGTTATGAGTCAACGTTTAGAGTTGTTGAACATTTTATGAAAAAAATGACGAAAGTAAACTACTACTAGCCGTTCAAACGTCGGTCCACTCCGCTAATTCTTGAACAAGATTTTTTAACGAAAACAGATACAAACCTGCTGTTTTTCCCATTCGATAGTAGAGATCGGGGCACGATATTTAACAAAAACATTTGAAAATGTTTCTTCGAAATCGATTTCTGAGGGAGTTTATGGGAAAATAGTGTGCAGCATAAAAAATGTTTGTAAAATATTTCGTTTTTTCCATGAGTAGATAACCCGAAGTGTCTTCTGCAAATGGGATAAAAAGAGTCTGGTTCTTAGTGCCTTAATTGAGAGATCAAAAGTCCTACGAGGGCTGATACCGGTGTAGGTGGAATAACATTAAAAATTTATAGAAACATAGATTATCTACCATGTCGACTCTTGGGGCAATGCCTATTTTCAGAAGAAAATTTGAAAACTTGATGAAAATGTATATTTGGCGATCGATATAGCCCGATTCAGACTATATTGACATAATTCAATCATAACGGTTCTAAACCGCTCCAAAATAGTATGATATATTCAATTTTAGCTGCTTAGTCTGATTTTATGCTGAAGATTCCTGGAAAACATTCTCTCATTTCAGAAGATTTCTAGAACACTTTCTCAAAAATGAAAATATCTTCTACTGCTTTTGTAATATTTTATTGATCTCCTGAGTATAATTTAGATAAAATCAAGTATATCTTCATATTTTGAAGAAGTTTAGATCGACTTTGAGTAGAAATTTTTGGAATGAATAGTAAATATAGTATCAAAAAATAGGTACATACTTGTTATAATTTTAGAATCATCAATTTGACTTCGTTTGTAGGTCCATGGTTGTGTTAACTGTGGTAATTCTGCTTTAGGAAAATTATTTTGATTGATTACTGCATACGGAGCTGCCGGTGTCAATAACAGGTGTCTTTTAGAGAATAAGGCTTCATCACCATGTATGTACAAGTCTTTCGGTATTAGCTTAATAAAGTCGTTTGTAAACGTGCAAATAGTGAGAGGATCTCTTAACAGACCAATCAACGGTTCAATTAATTGATAAGCTTCTAAACGAATATATTTTTCACCACTCGCGCTAACACATTGTTGGCGATAATACATTCGTGACAGTAAATTATCAGCAGCAGCAGCAACTGTTGAAGGAAGATATCCATCTAAAATAGAAACACAGTACTGCCGAATGATCAATGTAAGTCATTCATAAAATTTATACATAGATTTTTGGATGACTTTCACTGTTAATAATTTAATATCTTATATTAATAATAATAATCTTCTTACACAGTATTTACCTCGAATATTCAATATGTCATCACATGTACAGTTATAAATGACTTCTTTTGAACCCTCGAACGCTGCTATGCTATCACTAATTGTAACTTACTTTGATTTAAATCTATTACTCTCTGAAGAAGTTGAATGGATTTTGATGAATGTGACGTTTGAGTCAATATTTCACAAATATGATTTTGTAATTTTTCAATATTTGAGTACCATTCTAATTCCCACTGACTCGACGAATAGTTATGAAAATACCATTGACACGAATCTTCTTGTTCCTTTGTCTTTACATGAAAATTAAAGTTGATGGACCTCTTATATTTTGAAATATAATAACTAATCAAAAGAAACACAATAATTCCAGCGATAATCCAGTATAGTCCTTTGAAAAGACGGATAAAGTATACATGTATCAGATGTAAGAGACGGAACATGAATATTTAAATATGATTTTAGTTGAGTAAAACTCGTTTATCATACTTACTACTAGTATTCATTAATCTGTTTAGCAACCATATATATAAAACCGCTCGTTTTTCATTTTGCACCTGTCACGAACGCTTTTTTCACGCTCATTTTGCACTGTTCACGAACGTTCTTTGGATATAAAAAACGGAAAAGCGTTTTTTAAAAAGTTTATTAGTCTCAATAAATCCTTTTTGATAGTTTAGTAATCTACGACTATTTTTTACAGTGTGTAATAGTTATATCCATTATAAAACAAAATGTTCTAAATATTATCGTTCTTTCAATAAAAATTCTATATTGAAGAAATTATAATGATGCTGGTTGTTTCTTTTTGTGACCCTGTTCTTTTTGCTATGGCAATTTTTTCTTTTATTCGAAATAGTAAACTTATTCAAAGCTAAAAAGGAAACAAAGGCCAACACAAAGACTAAATGACATAAAAGTATATTGAGGATAAAACATTTCCCTTCTTACAAGTTCTATCTTTCTTTGAAGGTAATTTACCAGTGTTTTGTTAGTACATAGACGTAATGTACCAATGAATTTTTTTCATCTAACAAATTTACATGAGTGGCCCAGGCACAAAAAATCGCTAGAAACGGCAAAAAAAGGCGTTAGGACACTCCCGTTTTTTGACCCGTTTCCTATGGGATACAACGTGTGTAAACGCGTTTCATAACGTTTGTTTCATTTTCCCCTTTTTTACTTTATTAAAACAAGAAAGTATCATACAGTTACATCAGGAGTAACTTATATTTAACTGTTACAATGTTTTTTTGCGTAAGAATTCTCAATCTGCTTAAAAAAATACTCGTCAACTCAAACTGTTAAAAAAATCAATTTTCCTCTTATTGATTTTTTTTCCTCAATAAAAGAATAAAACAGAAAAGCGAAACAAAATAGAAGAACGATACGATGTTGGTATATGAGATGTAGGATACATACGAATTAACAAGTAAGAGTAACAGTTATGTTGAAATCAGGGTTTCTTTTTAAGCAAATATATATCTACAATTAACGTCAGACGAATAGAAGAAATATTGCAAATAACAACAATACACAAAAATAGATTGAGAAACACATGGATTGAAACATTTTTGTACAGCCTACGGGCTTAACAATATATAAACGGAAAGTAAAAAAAACAGCAAATACAAACATTTGAACAATATGTAATAAACCACCGTCATTATTTTCTGAATCATCATTTTATTATCAACTGTAAAACAGTTAACTTTATGCACTATGCAAATGAACAGACTATCGCTAAAAATTAAATGCCTGTCAACTATAATTTATACTACAGGTTGTAAGTTTGTTGGGATTCGAGCAGAAGAACTTTAAGATGGGGGCGATGGTCGACAATTGTTAAATTTTGACTAGACTTAAGTCCCATTTAAGTTTCCAGTCTTAACGTTAAAACTACATTTTCCACGACTGAAGTTTTTTTGTGATACAACCCTTAGATAAGACCAATCATAGCTACAACCACCGTAATTTCAAAATTAAAAAACGTTGATAGTAGCGATTAAACGGAAAGGGCTACCTTTATTTATCTTGACCTAAGCGAGCTAGGAAAAATTGATTAACATTTAAATGAGAAACAGCAAGTCTGTCCGTTGTTTTCAACATGTTTTTAGAGAGAATGTGAATATATGTATATTGAGCGCGCAGACAACGTAAGGTTACTGTCTACTGGCTTACTGGTTTACTAGCCGCCTATCCAGCGTAGGAGAAAGAAAGTCGCCCCTACAGGCCTGGTGAACACGGTTGTTTTTCGCTAACCGTCAAAGATAACCATCCGGAATCACCGGACTGTCTACGTCCGGTCTGCACACTGTCCAGAAATGTCACGGTAAATGTATAACAATGTCATGCTAAAAGTGTAACAATGTTACGTTTTACCGTAACATTTCAGGACAGTGGCACTACGAGAGTTAATTTGAGTTAAGAAGTTTGATTGGAGCAACATCAATCAAATTTCTTAACTCAGAGTTTGCGTAGTGTAGTGTAGATCAGGCCATAGCTTATTATATAATCATATATACTTGCTATCATACGATAGGTTTGGGTACATTTTGCCCTATCAATCGACGACTATTTTTGACAGTTATAGAGAAACTTTCATAAGCATGAATTCGTTTTGTTAAAAAAGTTTATTGATGATGTTTGAGCAGTAGAAATGCTGAAGTACTCTGACATCCTTTTCACTTTCATTCCACGATACTGCAGCAACAAATCTCAAAGATCGTTCGTCAGATCTCTTAAAAGTTTTTGAGATCGTCCATTTTTTACAAAGCAAACTGACGATTAGCGAGACACAACCTTATCCCTAACCGTAGTTGCTTGACTCGATTCTGATGAAAGGAAGTGTGATGTAAGAGTCCAGTCCGAGCAGCGAATTTCTGAGAAGACGATAGCTTTCCTTTAGAATTTTTCGCAGAAATTCTTCAAATCATCAAAAAGTTTTTTCCTAAACTACTCTATCCCCTTCCTCTTCCAAAAAGTAATGACAAAAAAACAAAGATATGCGAAGATGCGCGAATTTTTCGCTTCGACTGCTTCTGGCGCACTTCTTTCTGAGATTTCGCCCTATTAAAATTTTTCAGATCCACCACGATTCAGTCCATCTGTGGTTAGTGCTTTGAGATTTTATTTATTCTTTTTTCAAAATACGTATTTAAGATTCTTCAGTCAATTTACTTTTGCCTCTACACGTAATCTATCAATTCCAAGGCGGTGAAGATCTTTTGCACCATCTTAGGATATCTCAGAATATCGCATAATGGAATGTTCCAGAATATCGTTCTTTTTGTCTGCAGTGTAAGCACAGCTGTTATTTTTGCACCCTGAAAAAAAAGATCATCATCATAGAATGGATTGATTACGTGTCTAACACACTCTAGCCTTTCGCCTCTCT